TGTCTAAGGCAAATGCCACTTCTGTGCCATCTCCAAAACACTTAAAATAAAGTTGAGCCCCAGTCAGAGCAGAGATGCCTGCCTGGTGATCAGAAAGAATCTCTGGGGCTCTCTCTCTCTCTCTCTCTCTCTCTCTCTCTCTCTCTCTCTCTCTCTCGCAGACACCGTCCATCCTTCAGGGACCCCTGGACCTGCCGGATCCGGTCTCCACATAAAAGCAAAAGTGAACTACTGAGATCTTATCAAGATAAAAAGCTTCTGCACTGCAATGGAAACAATCAGTAAAAGTAAAAGGCAATAGACAAAATGGGAGAAGATATTTGCAAATGACATATAGGATAAAGGGTTAGTATCCAAAATCTATAAAGAGCTTATCAAACTCAACACCCGAAAAACAAACAATCCAGTGAAGAAATGGGCAGAAGACATGAATGGACACTTCTCCAAAGAAGACATCCAGATGGCCACAGATGCTCAACATCACTCATCATCAGGGAAATACAAATCAAAACTACACTGAGATGCCACCTCACACTGGTCAGAGTGGCAAAAATGAACAACTCAGGAAACGACGGATGCTGGTGAGGATGTGGAGAAATGGGAACCCTCTTGCAGTACTGGGAATGCAAACTGGTGCAGCCCCTCTGGAAAGCAGTGTGGAGGCTCCTCAAAAAATTAAAAATAGAACTACCCTATGACCCAGCAATAGCACTGCTAGGAATTTATCCAAGGGATACAGGAGTGCTGATGCATAGGGTCATATGTACCCCAATGTTTATAGCAGCACTATTGACAATAGCCAAATCATGGGAAGAGCCCAAATGTCAACTGATGAATGGATAAAGAAGATGTGGTTTATACATACAATGGAATAATACTTGGCAATGAGAAAATGAAATCCTGCCATTTGCAACAATGTGGATGGAACTGGAGAGTATTATACTGAGTGAAATAAGTCAGCCAGAGAAAGACAGATATCACACGTTTTCATTCATATGTGGAATTTGAGAAACTTAACAGAAGACCATGGGGGAAAAGAAGGGGAAAAAATAGATCAAACAGAGAGGGAGGCCAACCATAAGAGACTCTTAAATATAGAGAACTGAGAGTTGAAGGGGAGTGGGGCGCAGGGAGAGGGGAAAATGGACGATGGGTACTGAGGAGCGCACTTGCTGGGATGAGCACCGGGTATCACCAGGCAGAATCATGGGAATCTACCTCCAAAACCAAGAGCACACCGTATACACTGTATGTTAGCCAACTTGACTATAAATGATATTTTAAAAGATTTTTTTAATAAATGAAGAGGGAAAGGTTTGAATAATCACCAAAGCAAAGATACAAATGGCTAATAAGCACATGAAAAGATGTTCACCGTCATTGGTCATTTGTGAAACACAAATTAAAATCACAGTGAAAGACCACTCACACTCACGGGATTTGCAACTGACAATATTGCAAAGACATATTAGAAACACAGTCCTTTCGTGTGCTGATGGAAAAGCAAAGGATACGCTTTGAGGAATAGTCAGGCAGGTGTTTTGTTTTTTTTTTTACATTTTAAGAATGAACACAAAATTCTGTACTTAATGTCTGCTTGCAGCTGGATGAATATTTTCATACCATACTGAAAGATGCCAGAGATTAAGAAAAAAAGAGTAGCTTTTTAAAAGCTAAACATACACTTACCAGATATCCCTGCAATTCTGTTCCTAGGTATTTACCCAAAAGAGATGAAAACATATGTCTACAAAGATTTGAATTCAAACGTTCATGGCAGCATTCTTCCTAATCACCAAACTGGAAATAATTCAAGTGTCCATCAGCCGATGAACGAATAAACAAAATGTAGTATGTCCACACAATGGAATATTACTCAGTAATAAAAAAAGATCTATGGATGCATGCTAACATAGGAATATAACTCAAAACCATGGTAAGTGAGGGAAGTGAGATTCAAAAGACAACATACTGTATGAGTCCCTTATGGAAAATCTCCAGGAAAGCAAAAATATGGAATAGAAACCAGATCAGTGGTTGACTGTGGCTGGGTATATAAGCAGGAATTGCTTGCAAACAGCTATGAGGGTACTTTTGAGGCTGATGCAAGTGGTATTAAAATGATTGTAATAAGGGGCGCCTGGGTGGCTCAGTTGGTTAAGCATCCGACTTCAGCTCAGGTCATACTCTCATGGTTCGTGGGTTCAAGCCCTGCATCGGGCTCTGTGCTGACAGCTAGCTAAGAGCCTGTGTAAGGCCACAAGTCTAAATGTCTAAACCAAACTGACTCCATGACAGGCTTTAAGATTCCCCTCTGAACTAGAAGGCCTGAGTTTCAGCTTTCCCGAAACTATCAGGCAGTTACACATTGCCCAAGGCAAGAGAAACCACCCTTGCAACACCCAATCAGGAAAGTCCAGCGACCACCCTCCACATTACTAAGGGAGAGGCCTGGAGATAGAAACTATAGATAGGACCCTGTTACCTAATGATAAAGTTAACCAGTTAGTCGCCGAACAAGACCCTAGGCTAGCTCTGTGATTGGTTGAATTTTAAGGTACTCTAAATGTTGTAATTGGATCCCGCCAAAAGTAACGCATACTCTAGACAATGTGTATGGTCAAACCCGCTGTCAATGATGTTGAATAATTATGATTGGATCACTGTTCCCATGTCACAACTTCTGTAACTCCTCCGTCTCAAACCCCATAAAAACCCTACTCTGCCCTTGTTCGGGGCTCTCAGCACGGATCCATGCGCTGGTGAAGTCTGTGAGCCCGAGCTTAAGCCCATAATAAAGCCCTTTGCCTTTGCATGCGTGACTCGGTCTCCCTGGTGGTCTTTGGTCCGTGAGGATACTGCGATCTGGGTATAACACCTGGAGCCTGCTTCGGATTCTGTATCTCCCTCTCTCTCTCTGACCCTTCCCTGCTCACACTGTCTGTCTCTCTCTCTCTCTCAGAAATAAATAAAAACATTGAAAAAAAAGAATCTCTAAAAAAATGATCTTAATAATGGTTCCACACACTACATAATACACCATAAATTATTGAACTGTACTCTAACAATGTATAGACTGGGTGGTACATAAATTATACCTTAATAAAACTATCAAAATTAATAAAAAGAAATGAGATACCCCTATATCCTTTCGAGAATGGCTAAAATTCAAATGACTGGTGATACCAAGCATTGTAAAGATGTGGGGTAACTGGAACTCTCACACATAACTGGTGGGAATGTAAACTGACATGGCCACCACGGAAAATGATGGCAATGCTTATAAAATTCATCATATGTCTACCTTTGACATTGAGTCCCTTCTAGCTATTTACTCAACAGAAACGAGTCTATGTGTGCATGAAAAAAACATGTACAAAAATGTGGATGGCAAGATATGTTTAAAAAAATTATGGCAGTGTTATTCATAATAGGCCCTATTGTGGAGAAAATGTTTGTGCCCTCTCCTTAAATTCATATGTTGAAATGAGTTGATGGCCAGACCTACTTCATAGGGTTGTGAGGATAAAGAAGGTAACTTGGTTAACTGATAGACTCAGGAACAGAATCCATATCTTCTGATGCCAGAGCCTCTGCTTTTTCCAAAGTGTTTATTCCCATCACAAGATAGTACAGACAGGAGGCCCCGAGATAACCTCCCAGAGCTAAGAAGCTACGGAAGCAGCTGCCAATGAGAAGGGAGTGTTTTCAGGCCCCTGCAATGATGCAGTTCAGTCAGACTGCCATCCTAACACCAAGCCTGAGAACACAGGCTCTTCACTTATTTTTCCCCAGCAAACACATGTTGGTGTCAACTATGAGGTTGTCCTGTGCATCTTAGAAGAATTATGGCCAGCTTTGATCGGAGGGGAGAGAGGGAAAGTTTTTGGAGATGATTCTTAGAGACGTTGTATTCTAAACCCCTTCTCCCTCAACCCAGTATCTCTAATCTTTTGGTCTTATCAGTCTCTTGGTCTTATGGATTCTACATCATACAGGGTTTATAATCCATTCCTCCTTTCAGTGCCAATTGGGGCTGCTGGTGGTGATGTAGCCTTCACTCCCACCCAGACATTTTCCTTGCATCCTACCTGGTCCATATCTCTTCCTGCACCACCACCCTTGTACCCTTCCCTGAGACCTGAGAATCTTTCTAAAATGCAAAATTGACTATGCTTTTCCTCTGTTTAAAATACATCCTTGAGGGGCACCTGGGTGGCTTAGTCGGTTAAGCATCCGACTTTCGCTTAGGTCATGATCTCGCGGTTCGTGGGTTAGAGCCCCGCGTCGGGCTCTGTGCTGACTGCCAGCTCAGAGCCTGGAGCCTGTTTCAGTGTATGACTCCCTCTCTCTCTGACCCTCCCTTGCTCACGCTGTCTCTCTCTCTCCTAGAAATAAATAAAAACATTTAAAAATAAAATAAAATAAAATACATCCTTGCTCTGCCTCCTCCCACATTGGGGTAGTATACTCGATCCTTCAGGCTTTGGTCTCTGCCTATATTTCTACCCAACCCACCTCCCCTGCACGTCATTCTTTTGCATTTCAAAGCAGTGTAGTTCTCCCCCAACATTCCTGAAGTTCTGCCTTCCATATCCCCTAACGTTGCTTGGGTCCAATAAGAAAACTCCTATGGAGTCTTCAAAGCCTTTTTATGAGTAGCCTCCTCTGTGAGGCCTTGGCCGTCTTCCTCCCTTTGAGCTAACCCCACACCTTGCCCACCCTTTTGTCTGACCACACTCTAGAATCATCATCGTTTGGGCCCCTGTCTGGCCCTCCACAATGTAGGGACAGGGGCTGATTCACCCCTACATCCCCTGGTCTCAGTGAGTAGATTGGAGGGCATGTGGGTGTCAAACAACAGGGTGGAAAGGTGAGGTGGGTGCATCATTTTCTGGAGCCGTGGGGCTGATAGCTCTGTCTCTTCCTAACAGCCAGCCCCCCTTCCACCCTTGAAGGAGCCCCAGATTCCTGCTGTAGCTCAGGGGGCCCCCCCTTACCTCTGTAAGCTTTCTGGGTCACAGGGCTCATTCCCTGACTGCCTGCACTTTGTGAAGCAGTCAGCTGTGTTCCCCAGGTGGAAGGATTCATACTTGCCCTCGTTGATGAGCCCCAGGCAGACATTCCTTGGTTGCTCCACGTTCCTAGAAGTTTTCATACCTGAAGGAGGGATGCAGAGGGTGTGAATGCTCTGGGTAGGGAGGCAGCAAGGGCAAGAGGTAGAGGGTAAGATGTTCAGGCCCCAGGTTCTGGTAATGTGGGCTGCAATTCCAGCTCCAGCCACCTACACCAGCTCTGTGCACCTGAGCAGGACTCCCTCTCTCTGGGCCTCAGTTTCCCAGGCAAGAGGAGATACTACCCCCACCTCGCAGGGCCAGTGGCAGGCTTTGGGGAGAGTGTGTACAAAGGGCTTGGCACATGGTTCCTATTACCTTTTACCACCTCCACCAGGGAGTCTGCTGGGCTTTCCTCAGTTGTTCCATATCACACATTCCAAAGCCCTTGCAACTGTGGCCTAATGGTATAACTCTTGGGCATATTCTGTCCTAGTTTGCCTTATTCTCCTACATTCTCATTACAACCCACACAGGCTACCTCTTGGGGTAGAGAGAGAACACAGCAAACTGAGAGCCCCTGGGACTCAGTGACTTGAGGGAGGTCACAAGCTAATGGGGGTGGGGTGGGGTGGGGTGGGGTGGGGGGGAAGGGCAGCTCTGGGATGTCAGACCAGCTTCTGTGACTTCTAGCTGAGTTCCCCTTTCACCGGGCAGTGGGATGGAATGGAAGCTTTGAGTCACTTACTTGCTGTGTGGCCTCTGGGACTTTTATGTTTATGTTTAAACTTCCTTAAACCCTCTGTGGCTCCATCTTCTCATCAGCTAAATGGGACTAATAATACCTACCTTGTGAGTTTGGGAAGGATTAGAGTTCAAATACATAAAGGGTATCGCTCATCATAGCTGTTCAGAGAGCCAGTATTACTTATTCCAGGAGGTGAGAATTTCATTGTAAACCCAACTATTTATGTATTTGTGTATTTATGTTGGATGTATGTATATGTGCACATATTTACCTATCTCTCAACAAAATTAATACACCCAGAAGTTTGTTTTCTTTCTTTCTTTTTTTTTTTTTTAATTAAAACGTACAGGGGCACCTGGGCAGCTCAGTTGGTAAAGCATCCGACTTGGGCTCAGGTCATGATCTCATGGTCCGTGAGTTCGAGCCCCGCACTGGGCCCTGTGCTGACAGCTCAGAGTCCAGAGCCTCTGCGCTGACAGCTCAGAGTCCAGAGCCTCTGCTTCAGATTCTGCGTCTCCCTCTCTCTCTGCCCCTCCCCCGCTTGCACTCTGTCTGTCTCTCTTTCAAAAATAAATAAACATTAAAAATTTTTTGAATAAAAAAATAAATTAAACCATACACAAGAGCATAAAATGAAAAGTAAAACTCCCCACAGCTCCCAGGTCACACTCCAGAGCTCAAGACCCTTAGCAATTTACTGCACAACCTTGCGGAAATTTCCTATACGTAGGCAAGTGTTGCGATATAAATCATTTAAAAATGTACATGAATGGGATCGCTTGGCAATATATGTCGAAGAGCTTTCAGCATCAGCACCTACCAACCCGTCTCTCTCTATACACTTGCACACTGGTCCACGAGGTGAGTGTGGCTGGTGGGCTTTGCTGCTCTTTTTTTTTCTTCCCTATTTTAAACAACACTGCTTACATCTTTGTCAGCTTGTGTTAAGAATTCATAGAAAACATTGCTATCATAGGAATCTCTGGGTCAAAATGTATGAGCTTTTAAAAATTGGTAGGTGTTACCAAATTTCCTGCTAAAGGGGATGCGCCTATTTCTCCATGCAGCAGAGTGGCTATTGACCCACGTGTTCATAATCCTAGACTTCACCAAACCTGCAAGCCTTTGTCAACCTGAGGAGTAAAATTACATTTTTGTTTCAACTTAAGAGGGAGTGGGAACATCTATTTGTATGTTTTTTCCCTCTGAACTGCATTGTGGTACCCTCTGTCCATTTGTGGGGGTGTCTTAATCTGCACACGTTGGCCTTTCCAATGGGCACACCAGGAACGGTTAAGGAGGGCTACCTTTGAGATGTGCGGTGCTAAGGGTGAGGTAGCCAGAGGGACATTTACTTTTCATTTCTTATCCCCTTCTCTGGTGTGTGGGTTTTTTTTTTTCCAAGAAATCACACGCAATATGACTTTAGCAATAGAAGAAACAAGTTAATTTTTAAGATAGAGATACAGATAATGGCAGACCAAAGTTAGAGTAATGTGGGGCTTTAAAAATTACATTTTAGGGGAGCTTGGTTGGCTCAGCCAGTTAAGCATCCAACTCTTCATTTCGGCTCAGGTTGTGATCTCACGGTTCATGAGTTTGAGCCCTGCATCAGGCTCTGCACTGACAGCACAAAGTCTGCTTGGGATTCTCTCTCTCTCCTTCTCTCTCTGACCCTCCCCTACTTGAGCTGTCTCTCTCTCAAAATAAATAAATAAACTTTAGAAAATTACATTTTAGAGTGGATTTTGTAATAATCAGATCTATGGTGACAGTGTTTTAAGTAGCCTATAAAGAAACTTTAATTTTCTGTTAGATTGTAAAAATATTCATGACACCGTTTAATGGGAAGAAGCAAATACTTGATGAGCATGTCTATAATATGATCTACATTTGCTTTTTATTTTATTAAAAAAATTTTTTATCCTTATTTTTGAGAGAGAGAGTGCAAATGGGGGAGGGGCAGAGAGAGAGGGAGACACAGAATCCGAAACAGGCTCCAGGCTCTGAGCTGTCAGCACAGAGCCTAACACGGGGCACGACCTCCCCAACCTCCCCAACCGTGAGATCCTGACCTGAGCCGGCAGTCGGTCGCTTAACCGACTAAGCCACCCAGGCGCCCCAACGTTGCTTTTTAAATTAAGGAGGAAGAGAGAGAGAAAAGAGGGGAAAAGAGGGAGAGGAAGAGAGAAGAGAGGGGAAGGAAGTGGGGGTGCCATTCTCCCTGTAATCCTAGACATCTGTGTGCCCCAGGGGTTACGTGGGTGCTGGGCACCCCGCGGGTGTTAACAGAGCCCCCTCCCGGCCTGCCTCAAAACATCAGCGCAGTCGTGTACGTGACGATTTTGGCAAATGCAGAAAAGATGATTAAACATCTTTTTCCGTGATTATTTTTTGAAGGCATTGGAAGCGTTCAGTCCAGACAGAGAGAGCCTGACCCAGGCCTGTGGGGGACGGTGCCAGCCCCCGCCTCCAGACCTACACGACGCTTCCCCACCCGATGTGGCCCAGAAGCTGGCCTCCAGGGACCACTCAATCAACGGTCAAGGGGGAAGCAGGCCGGAAGTCAGAGGGTGGTGGTGGCCCCTCCCTACAGGTCACCACCTGACGACTGCTTTTCTCTGCCACAGCCCAGCCCCGGCCGCTCAGGGCTTGGTCCTGCGAAGAAGTCACCATCAGTGTTTATCGCATGAATGAGTCAATGAGCAGACGGTGGTGAGTGACCCGTAAATATCCACAAAAAAAGGAGACTCACCTTTACACGTAAACATATAAGCCTCACAGACCTCCTCACACTATTCAAATGGCTGACCCTTTGCCCAAACTGGAGTACCCCCATCACCATGGAATAACCCACATCACCAGGGAATAATCCCCATCACCACATAATAACCCGCATCACCACGGAATAACCCCCACCACCATGGAATAACCCCCATCACCACAGAATAACTCGCATCACCACAGAATAACTCGCATCACCACAGAATAACCCGCATGACCACAGAATAACCCGCATCACCACGGAATAACCCCCATCACCACAAAATAACCCCCATCACCACAAAATAACTCGCATCACCACAGAATAACCCCCATCACCACGGAATAAATTCAGTCCCTGTGGGGAGCCCTGAAGCCCCAACCAGTGTAGTTATGGCTTTTGTGAAGGGCCCGGGGTCTTCATGATGCTGAGACCGGACACTAGCCACCACTGGTTATTGAGTTAATTGATCTGACGAGCGTGTGGCCTGATGCCAGCTCCGCCGGGCGGACAGCACCGTCATTCCCCCCTTTTCAAGCTGACGGCTACACTTTGTACTTTGCCGAATAACCCAACATTTGAAGAGAAAGTTCTCTGAAGCCCAAAGAGCTTGATCCATATGACCCTATGACCCCGTGAAAGCCGCATGACCTCGTGCTGGGCAGGCATGTAAGGGGACAGGCATGCAGGCCGCTCACTGAATCAAGAGCAGAACCGGAGGATGGGGCGCCTGGGGGGCTCGGCCAATTAAGCGTCTGACTCTTGCTTTCCGCTCAGGCTGTGATCCACGCTTCTGGGATCGCACCCCTGCCTCGGGCTCTGTGCTGTCAGCACAGAGCCCGCTTGGCTCTCTCTCCTCTCCTCCCCTCTCCTCCCCTCTCCTCCCCCCGCCAAAATAAATAAACTTTTAAAATAACGATACTAGGAGCTAACGGGTGGGGGCACATGGGGCACTGAGCTGCAGCACACCTTCTGCCTGAGAGGGTCACGGCGGACATCACAGGGCACCAAGGAGGGCAAGCGGGGGCTGGCCAGGTGGGCCGGGGTGGGCTCAGCGCTCCCGGGAGCGAGCGAGGACAGCAAGGGCCTGGCCTGGGGTCCTGAAACTGGTCTGGGGCGCCGCCGCGTGTGCCAGGCTGACGGCGGGTGAGGGGCGGGAAGCCTTGTTCCCAGCTTGGCCAACTGGAGACTAGGAGGCCATTGCGGGCCAGGGAGAGGGGAGCCGGTGAGGGCATGGGGCGGTGAGGGCATGGGGCGAGCCTCCGCCTCCACAGCGCCCGGCCCCTCCCCCGGGAGCTCAGAGGCCAGCGGGATAAGAGGGTGTCCAGGGCCCACTTGTGGCCCAGAGCCGGGCCCATCAGGAAGCCACAGCCCAGAGGAGGGGAGGGAGGGGGGCACCTGAGACCCAGCGCTGACCAGGTTTATCACGATGACACCCAACTCGGGACGAGGTGGGAGAAGGTGCTAACGTTGGACAGACGTGCTCCAGACACCCAGACCCGTGCCCCCTTCCCGGCCCCTATCCCTCGGTCTCCCAGGCTCGGGAAGTGGGACTGAGGAGCCAGCGGCTCACCTGAGGCCCGGAGCAGGAGGAGTGGGAGAAACAGGATGCCCAGGGTCCTGGCTGTCACCATCCTTGGCCAGCCTTGTCCACGCTGGCGGGAGCCTGTGTCCGTGTGTCCCTCTGGCCCCGGGCTCTGCTGTGTGGCCTGCCTCCCCCACCCTGCCCCCACGCAGCGTCACGACTTCCTGTGGCCTCTTTCTAGACCTTCCTGCTCCATGGCCCCGACGGTTGGGTTGTGAAAGGTGAGAGTGGGGCCAGGCGAGCACTCCTGTCTCAGCTCGGCGACCGCCTGCAGGGGGGGCGATGAATGCATGCGCCTGGGGACTCTGCTGGGTGCTGTGAAGTTCGTGTCCGGCGGCCGCAGAGGCTCCACACCCAAGCAGACCCCTGGGCCTGGTGACGGGCACTGGCTTTGCAGTCAGGCACAGCTAGCGCAGACCCTCCTCTCACAAGCTGGGGCCTCTCTGAGCTCGTTCCCTCCTCTGTAAGGAAACACAGTAACGGGGGGCACCTGAGTGGCTCCAACAGTTAAGCGTCTGACTTCGGCTTAGGTCATGATCTCACGGTTCGTGGGTTCAAGCCCCGCATCGGGCTCTGTGCTGACAGCTCAGAGCCTGGAGCCTGCTTAAGATTCTGTGTCTCCCTCTCTCTCTCTCTGACCCTCCCCTGCTTACTCTCTGTCTCTCAAAATAAAATAAAGACATAAACATTTTTTAAAAAAAGATACAGTAAGGGCTGCGCAGAGAGCATGCGGGGCTTGCAGACCTGTAGCAGCCTGGGATGGTGTTCAGGCTCCTTCACTCCTGCTTATGGCTTGAACAAGACCAGGGGCAAGGCCATGCCTGCCGGGGCCCTGGGAGCAGAAGAGAGCCAGCCCTGTAGGCCCCAGCAACGGCCCGCCCCACCAGACTGGATAACAGGAGACGTGGGCCGGGTGGGCAGGAGCATGGGCTCTGGGGTTGGTCGGGCCTGGGCATACCTCTGTCCTGGCCACCTCCTGGCTGGGGGAGTGCGGGCGAGCTGTCTGCGGCCCTGAGCCTCTCACAAGACATGCAGAGAACTCATGACACCGTGCATGTGGAATTGTCCAGGCCTGGAGGCGTGGCCACTGTCACTATCTTCTGACACGGTTGTCAGTACTGCACAATTACTGTCATATTGCCCGGTCACGGGTGGCCCAGACAGGAAGTGGGGGCAGCAAACACACACGGGGAGCAGCGTGAGGGAAGGGGAGGGGCTGACCGCTCAGGCCCCAGCTCTGGGGGCTCTAGGGAAGCCGTGGGGATGAGGCCAGGGCCCTTGGCATGGTCCCACGGTCACTGGCAAGTTCAAAGTTGGAGAGCATCCCACTGAGAAGGTGCATCATCACCAGCATCCCCTACTTCAGGGCCAGAGTTAGATGTGCTCCACCTCAGGGGTCTGAGGAACCCCCCCCCCGGCCCTCCCCCTTCCTTCCACACAGTGTCTAGACAGGATTCAGTCCAGAGGGCCCAGCTCGGGGTTGGGGGAAAGGATGTCGGGGTGACTCATGGAGCGTGGGTGACAGGTGGGAATCTGGCAGAGAGCCCCAGGCCCTTCCTCTGCAGGGAAGGCTTAGGGACAGACGGGAACCACTGGGCCCATCCGCCCCCTCCCAGCTGCATCCAGGTGAGGAGATAAAGCGCACAAGGGCTTTGTGAAATGTGGACTTGCTGGAAACCCATCCTGGTGCCAGGGCCTCAGAAGGGCTTACAAATGCCTGTTTGTAAAGAAGCGCCCAGAAGGAGCAACCCAGAGCATCCAGCACACCTGGAAAGATGGGACCAGGGGGCTAGGAAAGTGGCAAAAGGTGGCTGGGCTGGGCCAGGGTGAAGGCTACCCCTCCTAGGCCCCACTGGGGCTGGGGACTGCCCTGGAGCCATGTACAGAGCCACGGGACCCCCAAAACTCTGGGCAAATGGGCCTGCAGTTTCTCTTGCGGCCACTCCCATGCTTGTCCCCGTGGCTCCAGATGGGCTCCTGGCCAGGCCTGGCCAGCATTCACCTTCTGGCCACGTCCGTCCATTTCTCACACCAGAGCAATGTCTCAACACGCAAACCTGGTCATGTCCATCCGAGAACAGCAGCCCTGCTGTCCAAGGCCCTCCGGCCCCGTGAATAAGGACCATCAGGTGGCCCAGACAGCCTTCTTCTCTCATTCCCATTTCCTGATGGGCCCAGGGTCTTTGTATCAGTGACTCTTACTAGAAGCACAGAAGGAAGCTCAGAGGAAAGTGCCCCAAACTGTTTACAGTGGTTTGTTAAGTGGTAACAAGAGCTGATTTTTATTTTCTTCTGTGTCCTCCTGTACAGTTTCCAAATTCTCTACAACAAACATCTATTTCTTTAGATTCAAAAGACAAATGACATAGTACTTAAAAAAGAAAGGCTTCCCCGTCTTTAAGACTGAGATCCAGATCAAATGCTGCCTCCTACAGGAAGTCTTCCCGGATCCCCAGCAAGAAACGATGGCTCCGCTAACCCCATGCCTGGAGCTCCAACCCATTAGGAGCGCACTGGGCTCTAGGCCACAGTCACCAGGGGAGACATGTCTTAGTCTTCTGGGGTGCCAGGGCAGAAACAAGTCCACATCGCTGCGCCCCACAGTTCTGGCCACAAGTGGGCTTTGAGAGAGGCCGAGGGCCCCTAGGAGGGATGGGCTTGGCAGTGGTGAGCAAGGGTGATGCAGCTTCTAGAAGGGCCCAGATGGACAGACAGACCTAGCCCAGCCCAGAATGTCTATACGAAGCCTGAGTCAAGGGCAGGCAAAAGTCCGTGCAGTAGACAGAGGTTTACAGCAGGCCATCAGGCAGCTCTTGGAAACCAGAACCCAAAATACAGCATTGGGATCAGGGCCCCCCTGGGGCTGGGCGGAGGGAGGGGGAGGGATGGGGAGGGTGATGGAGGGCCCTGGGCTCCGAGGTAGAGGAGACGCTGCCCCACTCCCCTCCTCCAGGGGTCTGGCTCAGAGCTCTGCCCCCACCCACCCACGTGCCCTGAGTACCACTCTCAGGCTAAAATGGCAGGACGACCGCATGTCCTCATGGTGACTGCCAGAGACAGAACAGCTAACGGCCCATTCCTGTCCTGTGGGACAACGATGCCACCAGGCCTCACATGCCCCTGACCTTGGGGCCATAAGGGCTCCCATCCCCAGCCACGAGGGCGGGGCCCAGTGGCAGTGACTTGAGACCAGTCTTCGGCCCCCAGCTAGGACGGCAGGAGACGGTCCCACTCCTGAGCCCCCTGTGAGCTGGACCTGAGAGCCAAGCAGTCCGTGGGCCAATTGAGAAGGCCCAGACTGGGGGTCTGGCTGCCAAGGGCACCCGCCCCCTCACTCTGAGGTCCTTGGGCCTTCTTCTCGAGTCTCCGGCTGACCCTCAAGTGTCGGTCCTGGCCGGGGGGCGGCGGGCGGCGGTGGGGAGAGGCCGCAGCTCTGGTTCCTCATGTGGCTCCCGGAGGTGGCTGGTGGCTTAGATGCGGCTGGACGAGGTGCTGCCCGAGCTGATGGGGAGCCTGGCGCTGTCCGAGTTGCTCTTCAGCGGGGAGGGCCCGCTCTGGGCCTGCAGCCGCATGGACCAGTACCAGAGAAAGATGAGGAAGCCTGTGGGCAGAGAGAGGGCCCAGGGCTCAGCAGGCTGTGGGCAGCCCTGGCCTTCCCCATTCTCCCTCCCCAGGCTGCCAGCACCCATGGGACCCCGGGGAGCCCCGACTATGCACCAGACACTGTGTGATTCCCTGGGCCCCATCCCACATTCTTCTCCTAAGGTTCTTACGAGGCCAGGCCTATTGGTTACCCTTCTGTGTCACAAATGAGGAAACTGAGGCCCAGAGAGGTCAGGGGACTCGGCTGAGCCAGGAGTTAAACAGTGCCGTTCAGGTTGCAGAGTGTGCCTATTTAAGCACCTCTCGGCCAGAACACAGGGGTGTGCGTGTGTGTGTGTGTCTATCTGTCAGTCATCAGTGGGGGGGATGGTAGAGGGGTACAGGTAGGAGGGACCCTGCGGCATCAAGCCCAGGCCCTCGTGACCAGTTCCTCTGCTCCTCCCCCTTCACCACCTCCCCACTGCCCCCCCACCACTGTACCCTTGAGCCCTGTACCCCCTCACTATTCTTTCAACACACAACCAAATTCCAGCCTCAAGACCTTTGCTCGTGCCCCTCCCTCGGCCTGGCACACTCTCCTCAGCCCGCAACACGCACACCCGACCCCGGGCTTCTGATACAGCGCAGACCTGACCCAGCGCATCCAGGGGGGCGGAGTCCCCATGGCTAGCAAGACTCCCACAGTGCCGATGCCCACGGTCTGAGGAACACACACGGAGTAACAGGCCCTTGATCTCTCCCTGGCGGAACCCTTCTGCTGTCTTCAAATACCTCCTACACAGGCCTCTCTGGCCACTGTCCCCAAAGTTGTCCCCACCCCAGCACAGACGGTCTGTCCCTCATGTCGCCCACTCTTACGGCCCTGGCCTCCGAGATCCCCTCACAAGGCTGTGTGCTTGCCTGTCATGCCTGGTCTTTCCCACCAGCGACAAGCTCCATGGAAGGAAGGCCCTGACCCAGCCAGTTCCAGGCTTAGCACAGGGCCTACACATAGTAGGTACTCAATAAAGACGTGTCAACTACAGCCAGGATGCCCCCATTCTCCGGATGGGAAGACTGAGGCCCAGAGAAGTGAAACTTTCAGGTTGGGGCACATCTTCCCCACCCTGTGCTCCACGCGTGGGCACCCTGCCCAGGCCAGGGGGTGGGGTCTTCTACATGCCTACCTTGGAAGGAGGTGATGATGCTGAAGAAATAGAGGATGACCAGCTGGAAGGTGCCAGAAGCAAAGGAGAAGAAGACCAGGGCCCAGGGCAGACCGAGGACCAGGCTGAGCCCCAGCAGCGTCAGCACGTGGGGCCACTTGTGGGCGTGCGGGCGCAGCCGCAGGACCTGCCCCACCATGGTGCCCAGCATGGCGGTGTTGAACAGAAACACCAGGCTGAAGAGGCCCAGGTTGGTGACGTGGCTGACCATGGAGTCCCGGATCCAGCACCTGTGGGCGCAGATGTGGGGGCTCAGCACGAGCCGAGGCAGGGCCACGCTTCCTGGGGGCCATGGACCCGAGCCACAGCGAGCCTGAGCGCGCCGCGGAGCACCTTCAACACCACCGACTCACAGGGGGCGTTATTTCCTCTTTAAGTCCTCTGTCAGCAGCCCGGCACCCAGGAGCCTCCCGGCCACCGTGGCCGTGGCCCAGGCCGCTCTCTGGCCTCCGCGCCCCAAGGCCCCTGTGCCTGTCCCCGCTGCCCACAGCCACTCACATGGAGGGGTAGATGACACTCTCCGGAGTCCTGTGCACAGCCAGGATGATGGAGCCATAGTTGTTCATGTCCACTAGTGCCACCAGCGTCACCAGGAAGACGGGGAAGCCTGAGGGCCGCAAAGCACGGAGTTCCATCTCCCACCCTCCCCTGCCCTGCAGCAAGACCTTCGGACGCTCCCCTTCCCGCTCCAGTCTGGTCTTCCCACAGAGAGCCCCAGCCCCGCGTTCCCCTCACCATCCCGGCCGTGGGAGAAAGGGCCCGGGCTTCCCCGCTGAGGGGCGAGACGTCGCAAGGAGAGATAGGAGGGACAGTCAGGACATGGGGGGGGGAGGCCTGGAGGGGAGGACTTCCAGAGCCTGTACTGGGCCTTGACCTTGTCCATGGGCTGGAGATGGAGATCCCTCCAGAAGTGGTCTCCCACCACCAAACACCTGGGCCTTGACACAGAGCCAACTCTGAAGGATTTTTATGTAAATCAAAGCAGTGACCCAAAAAGGGCCAAATGAGAAACACCGCAGGAGCGGCAAGTTGGGTCAGGGATGTGGGGAGGTTGGTGAGCCTGTGCAAAATCCCAAGGACTTGTGAGGCGTCCCTGGGCCTTCAGGCCTGAGTGAGAGGTCTGGGCCATAGGTAAATTAGGTTGTCTCAGCCAAGGACAAATGCCAGAGCTATGGGGAAATCTTCAGGGTTACCTAAAGCTTCAGAGGACCCACAGACAGAGCCACTTCCAGCCTGGGTGATTTAAGTGAGCGGAGGACTGGATTACACCCCCAACCCGGTGCCTTTGAGCAGTGTACAACTTGCACATCCATAAGTGATGGCTATGTCAGCAAACCCCCCTTTTAAGAGAGTGAGCAATGTCGAGACTATGTGTTTCTTGGGGCAGTGCTTACCATCTCATCTTCCTAACGGGGAACTTAACCCACAGCCAAGGTAAAGATCCCCTGAGGGCATGTGGGCAAACGAAACAGTGAGGGGAACAGTCAGAGAAGTAAGCAGAGAAGCAGAACTGGGCACCTGTGTTTTGCCAAGTAGAAGAGGCAGGTCTAGAGGGCCCACCAGCATCCTCTACCAGCTTACCCCAGCCCACGATGCTCAGCTTGAGCAAGTAGCCAGGGACATAGGTGCCGAAGACCTCAACCACGAGTCGGTAGAGGTTGTAGCCCTCGAGGCCCATCCAGGAGAGGCAGGCGAGCAGAGAGAAGTGCAGGAAGATGGCACTGGCACGGCAGCCGGCCTCGGAGCCCGTCAAGGCCACGGGCTCGCTCAGCAGGAAGCTCACGTCTAGCAGGAAGACAGCCAGCAGCAGGTTCATGTGCACCTTGATGGTGTAATCCCGAGTCTTCCTCCTGCACGGGGGTGAGGGGGAGGCAGGGTCACCCTGGCAGCCAGCTTGGGAAGGTGGGGGCAGCCTTCCCAGGGTGCATGCATACACACACACACGCGCACACACACACACACACACACACACACACACACACACACACACACACCCTATCTCATTCCTGTGGCTGCGGCCAGCTCATTCCCCACGTGTCCCTATGCACCTGCTGTGTGCCCAGCAGCCACAGGGACCTCAGGCACAGGTTTAGCCAGACGGAGCCAGCGAGACAAACCCAGCCACCCAAGTCAGCTGGATACTCCCAGCGCTGGAGGGGAGAGTCTTCGGATTCTGTGTCTGCCTGTCTGTCTGCACAACCGTGCATCTGTGAGGCTGTGAATGTGTGTGTGTGTGTGTGTCTGTCTTCAGGTTTGCAGATGTGTGTGTGCGCAGCCCAGCCCCACTCTGATGATCCAGGGCACCATCGGCCTTTCCTCCCCAGGTCCCCACGCCGCCAACTGCACTCTGCCTGGCACCATCCACCACGTGTTCCAGAGAGCACAACGCAACAGCCTGGCCCACCCACCCCAACTCCAGGTACACTTGGGCCGGCCCCTTCCCCCTCGCCCTCAGTTTACTCGTCTGTGAAATGGGGGGGCAGCCCCCTCCCAGCATAAAGTCTGGCACAGACAAGATGCTCAGTCCCTGAAGTTTCCCATCCTTGTCCTTGGGCACTTTTGTGGTTAATGAGTAGATGCTGGGAGGCTTGTGCCCCCGCCCCCACACGACACGGTCATGGATGCACACGCGTGCACACAGCGCACCCTCCCTTCCTCCCGGTGGAGAATAGCGAGCACACTCCCAGTGCTCACACCCACAGGATTTAGAGTGTCCGCCCTCTGCCCCAGTGGGCCCGGGCTCTGACTGCAGGCAGACCTCAAATTAGGCCAAGCCCAGCACTGACAATCTGGACCCATCCGCACAGCCGGGGGTGGAGGCGCTTTCTGCTCCACCAAACACTTCCCACGGGGCACCTTCCACTCAAGGCACCCAAGTAACAGTGGTGAACCGACAGAAGCCCCCGTTGGGGGATGGGGTAGGCTTTGTCAAACTCAAATGCCTGGGGGGGGAGGGTTCTGTACAGATAGCTGGGCCCCAGGGATGCCTGCCTGGGCTTAAGGCTGCCTCTGCCACTTCCTTGCTGTGTGACTTCAGGCAAGTCACTCACCCTCTCTGAGCTCTCTTTCATAGGGCTCTTGGATGTACTGAAGTGATTTTGTGCATGTAAAGCACTGAGAACAGTGTGTAGCACATGGGAAGCTCACCATCACACTATTATGTGCCCCCAGCGGTGACACCTCTGATTAGTCAAAGGCAGAAATCGAGATGTTTATGTTAATTCTCCCAATTTTCAATGTTGGCAAATAATGAAGATTGTAAGTGCTGGGTCTCCCCAACCACACAGGCCTGAGGTGGAAGTGTGGCCCCCAGGGGCCAGCTGACCACACCTCCCAGGGCCCCTGCGGCCGCGGGCACATTTTGTGGACAGCCAAGCCAATCCCCAGCATGGGTCTCCATGAGGTCAAAAAATGAAGGGTCTGCCTCCCTCCCCCTTCACCGCCCCCTGCCGGGCCTTACCTGGAGCAGAGGTAGGCAGCGATGGTGAGGACACAGGCCAGAGCGGAGATGACACAGCCCACATAGGACAGGAGGGTCAGGTAGTGCTTGTGTATGGCGTCGACCTCCACAGAGGCCACCTGGGTCCAGAAGACAGGCCAGGGCTGCCTCAGTGTCCCCAACTCGACTCTAAGGGTTTGCCCCAGGGGGGAAAGGCCAGCCTCTGCTCCCCGGGTGGGCCTCTGGCGTCTATGAGCCACCACCACCCCAACCTGAGTGTGGCCCCCTGAGTGTATCCTTAGGAAGGGGCAGGGGAGGGGTCTGCACTTTTCGTTCAGTGCCTCCTCACAACAGACCCTCACTAGAGGACCCCTTCTCCGGCCTGGCGCCCATGGTTTCTCATCACTGGAGTGAGCCTCCTGTGAGAGTGAGCACCCCACACCCAGCGAGAGCTGGGAGCCCACTCCGATCCCTCAGAAGCGGGGTCCCAAGATTCCGGGAGGGTGAACCTAGGACACAAACTTCTGTGCTCTTGGGGACCCTGAAGTCTGTTGTGAGAGCCCCCACAACGGGCCTCAGTCCCCTCGAGGGCTCACTGGAAATGTATTCGTGGCCCCGCCCCAGCCTATGGGGTTAGAATTCTAGGTCAAGGCCAGGAATCTGCATTTTTATCATGCACCAACATTTGGGAATAAAGGGCAGCTCTTTTACTAACTAGCTGTGTGACCTTGGGTAAATTGCTTCACCTCTCTGAACTTAGGTTTCCTTATCTCTACAATGGGGCAGCAGCAAGAGGCACGTCAGGGTTGGTGTGAAGAATGAATGACACGTATGTGGAGACAGGCAAGCCCCCAGCCTGTGGTGTGGCTGCCGGGCAGGGGGACTGCTCACCATCAGCACCGCAAAGTAGGTCAGGTGGTTGCACAGGCAGGACGTCTGTGTCTCTCTCCTGATGGTCTCACACCCCGCGTCGCTCCAGCTCCCAAGGCTGCTCACTGAATAGGGGTTCCATGGGGCTCTCGTTAAGCCCAGTCCCCCTACCGGATCCCCCCGCACACTGAAATCCACAACCGCATCACTGCTCCAAGTCTTTGCAAGTATCTAGTCTGCCATCATTCCTTCTTCAAAGCTCATCTTTCTCCAGGAAGCCCTCCTTGATTAACCCCATCTCCCCACCCTCCAGGACCCGCTTTCTCTTCCAGATGCCTGCCCAGTTCAGGGAGCCCTCCGCACTCACACGTCAGGTCTTCAACCCAGAATACACACTGGAGAGTCACGTTCTTCTGCCGGGACAAGAAGGGATAGAGGACCCCGTCACAGCGCGCTCCTTTCCGGGCCAGGCTGAGGAAGTCAGCGTCAGGCCACCACCCCATTTGCCCTTGACTGTCTGGTGCCCTCAGCCAGCCGGTCATTTTGTTAAAGACGAGTGATTCAGAAGGCAGGGCAGACAAGGAGGGACCCTTGTGTCCTTGGCTGGTTTGCTCCCACTCACCGGCTGTGGCTGATGCTGGAAGGTGAGCGTCACAGGCTCCGAGAGGTTGGCTACTTTGGTGTTCTGCACAACGATACCCAAGACCTTCTCACCCAGGACTTGGCTAGAATTCTTGTCCTGGAGATATGGGATGGGGGAAGAGAGGAGGGGGTGAGGGCTCAAGGCTGAGAAGAAGGGCCGAGGAGTTCCCTGGTTTCTCTAGACTCCCACATGCTGCTCTGAGATGCGGAGGCTCCCTCTGTAAACAATTCTTCCACATGTAGTCATTTACACTGTAGCGAAAACAACATAATTTAGCCTTCTCCGGGGGAGATTTGCACATCAAGGTCCATTTTCTGACTTTACAAGGAAAGGCTCTGGCTTGTGGACGAGGAGGCCTGGCTCTATGCCCACCTTCCACCTCCCCGTCAGACAGAAACTGATTTTCCCCCGGGGGAGGGCGCGAGGACGCGGGCCCCATACCTGGAACAGGGCTTGACTGCTGAAGTCCACCAGGAGCAGCCTCTTTTCAGCCTCCCCCCTCCGGCCCTTGGTCTTCTGGAAGAGCTCCCGCGGCAGCAGCACGGAGTACTCCCGGATCTCGCTCTGTTCCTTCTGCAGACCAGAGTCCCCCTGGGGCTCAGCTGGCCGTGGGCTCCCAGCTCTCCCGTACATGCCACCCTCAACACCTCCCTGGATGCTGCCACCGCCAAGCCCGCCTCCTTCAGGAAGCCCTCCTTTCCTTGGCTCCAGCGCTGGCTGGGGAGCCTTGCGGTTAGAGCCCAGGGCTCCAGGGGGGTTCGCGCAGCATTGTGCTGTCTGGGCTTCAGACGCCAATGCTGCGTGTGGCATCCCCGGTGGTAGGAATGAGGGCTGTGGGGGTGACTCCAGCTACCGGGCCCCCTCAAGGGCAGTCTGAGACCGAGGCGCATGCCCAGGCACTTTGGGACTGGTCTTCTGTTCATGGGGTTTGGTGGGGGGAGGAGCGCATAGGAGCCTTTGATGCCGGTCCCCTCCACCTCTGTCCCCACCGCTGTGCCAGGAAGGATCCTCGGCCACGGGGTAGTCACTAACAGGGGATTCCTTGGGCCTGAGACCTTCCTTGCCAGCACACATGTGGCTCCCAGAGGCCCGGGGAGGGGCGTGTTCATGCCTCCGCATCTGTTTCCTGCCCCGGCCAGCCCGGTCCCTGTCTCCTGACCTCGAGCCTGGAGTGGATGTGCAGGTCCTGGAGGCTGGCCGTGGGCTGGAGCCTCCACACTGTGGCATTGACCAGGTCCTCCTCAAAGGACAGCGTGTCCCCTGTGAACTTCACAGAGGTCAGCTTTGACTCCAGGCTCCGCAGCTGCCTAGCAGGGGGACACGGGGTGGGGAGGTTGGTCAAGGCAGGCAGGGAGCAAGAAGGGGAGACTAGGCATATACCCAGGAAAGAGGCAGGCGGGGGGGGGGGGGGGGGACAGCCGGATGGTGCTGGCGCACGAGAGAGAACAGGCCAGGGCGTGGGGGTGGGGTGGGAGGAAGCCAGGACATCAGAGCAAACAGGAAAGGGGGCTCTCCTGAGCACCGGCTTCCGGGCCCAGCTCTGCCCGGCCATGGAGGAGCCCTGCCCAACTCTGCGCCTCAGTCTGCCAAGCTCTCAAATGGGCCGATCAGGTCTCCTTTCTTGGTGGGGAAGAGGGCGTGGGGGTGTGTCCTGGGGTGGTGGGTGTGATGCTTGTTTTTACACATGTAAGGGGCTTGGCCTCAGGGCTGTATTTCGTTTCCTCCAGGAGGAGATGGAAAGATGAAGAGAACATTCCAGCCCCAGGAGATGCCCCCCCTCATCCTGCCTCCTGCTCCAGGTCTCAGCCCTGCCCACATCCGTGTCTGGGGTCCACGCTTACTGGCTGGCAGGGGTGGATGAAGGCCTCCTCGAGGTCTTCCCTGGGTGCTTCAGAAGCTGGCTGAGCAGCTCAAGGTCTCTTTTCAGCTCACATATGTCCACCGAGGCATTGTGGGAGGCCTTCTGGGGGGGATCTGGGGCACAGGACAGACAGATGGACGGGCCTAAGGCTTGTTATCGGAGGTGCCACACCCATCAAACTCCCACTTAACCCTCACATGACTCTAAAGACATCCAGCCCGTTTTACAGAAAATGACACTGAGGCTCTAAGACATGGGGTGGCCCCCCCCAAGGTCACCCAGAGGCTGGCCATGCGGGGGCTCTGCCACATGGAGACTTCCAGCAACTCCAGCCCAGCAGAGAAGGCTGGGACACAGCTGCCCACACGACTAGAGCCCAGAGGGCCCATCCCAGGAGCGACGTTGGGGGCGTGGGGGCTTGTGTGGCCTCTGGCTCCCGACACCCAGTCCCGTCTTTCTGTTCTCTCTGCTCCCACCCTGATCAAGCCTCATCTTCCTTCACCTGGACCTTCCCTGCAGCCTCTGTATGGGGCTTTGCCCCCTCTACCTTCACCCCTACTTCCCCACAAAGCTTCCTGAAGCACAGCGCGGATCACACCCCTCCCCCGCTCAGACACCGTCAGTGGTTCCCCACTGCCTGGGAACAAGGCTAAGCCCTGACCCAGTTCCTCCTGCCCCGAGGCCCCCTAACCGTGGAAGGAGAAGGTGAAGCCAGCAGCACTGGGCAGACTGGAATTCTGGGGGCTCCACCAGGAGCTGACCGAGGTGGCCAGCAGCGGGGGGCCCTGGGCCAGGTTCTCCTTCTGGTGCCGGAAGCACAGGAGGCCAGAGGCTCGGTCACTCAGCAGGAAGTCGGTCTTGCCATAGCGAAGGTGAAATTTCCCAGCATGGCGGTTCCAGTAGAGGCAGAAGTGGTAGAGGCCCCTGGGGTCGGGGAAGGGTCGGGAGGCCAGGGGAACCCCGGTGACGGGGGTGAAGGGGGCATGGATCGTGAGGGCATCCTCCGAGTTCTTGATGGAGATGTGCAGGTCTGATGTCTGCTTGTAGTGGAGGCCACTCTTCTCTGTCTGGTTCCTCTGGCCACAGAAACGAAAGTCTTCGCGGGGGCTCCTGCCACGGGTACCTGAGGAGAGAAAGACTACAGACGGGGCTCTGCGGCAGGGAGCAGCCAGGGCATAGTTGGGGGCAGGCCTCGGGCCCAGAATACAGGACCCGGTGCCTGGGGCTTGCACACGTTCCAAGGTCTACAAAAATGTGAATGTGCTCTGCTCACAAATGACGAAAAGAATTAAAAATTAATAATAATTACAAAGGTTAAAAAAAAATCTTTAATGTTTACTTATTTTGTGAGCACAAGCAAGGGGAGGGGCAGACAGAGAGGAGGAGGGAGACAGTCCCATGAGGGTTCTGAGCTGTCAGTGTAGAGCCTGACGTGGGGCTCCAACACACAAACTATGAGATCATGACCTGAGCTGAAATCAAGAACCAGACATTAACCAACGGAGCCACCCAGGTGCCCCAAAGACAAAAATAAAAATTTTATGGCAATAAAATACTTTATGAGGCCATGTCTACCACAGTCAGTTGTGCAGGTTGTGCACTGCACAAGGATATTCTGGCTGCAGAAGTGAGTGGGGCCAAAACCCAATTCATGTTCCCCATCTCAAGCTGTGCACTGTGGGGCTGCATCTGCCAGAAAGAAGGGGTCTCCTTTTCTGCAAGATACCATCCACTTGCTAAACTGTGTCTAAAGTCCTGTGCCTGCCCAAAGGGGTTAGTGGATATGCTGGCAGCCGTCCTAGACATGGGGGCATTTTGGTGTAAATCACAAGAGTCCCACGGCAGCTCCAAGACAGCCTACCTTGCACCAGGAAGAGCAGAGCCAGTGCCGTCTGCAGTAGCACTTGGGCGGCCATCTTCCTCCCCAAAGTCACCCTGAGAAGTCACCACCTGAAAGAGGCCAGGAGCATTAGCCGGGGCCAGAGCTGCAAGGTGGTTGGCCCAGCCCTGCAGAGGGGGAGGCCAGTGCAGGTGGGTTTGGGATGGGAGGTGGGGAAGCACGTGTGGACACAGCCCGTGGACCTCCCCGGAGCTGCCGGAAGCTGAACGTCAAGGGGCAGCGGCATCCAGAGCCCAGCTCAGTTCAAGTCCTGGCTCCTCCTCTCACTTGCTGCATGACTGTATAAGCCACAGAAAATGGGGCTAATAGTACTTCCCTCCAGACCTAGCAGGAATGGGTAATCTTGGCTAGAATCAGGTGGAGAAGGCTCCAGAGAACCCCCTGGGCCACCCCTGGCACCCTGCCCCTCCAGGCCTGGAGGAGATGCAGGAGAGGCGGAGCCCTCCGGGCTCTCCTCCGGCCCCCCCCCCCCCATCATCCCCAAGACCCAGCTCAGAGGACACCTCCTTCAGGAAACCTTCCTCGACTCCCTCTACAGCCAGTCCTGGCCTCCTTTGCTTCCCACTGTTGGCTGGGGCCTCCTCTGCCCCCAGGCGGTGCGGGACGGTGCATTCCCTCCTCAGCTGTCGGGGGAGCCCCTGGTCCGTCTCTGCACAGGGCCAAGTGCACAGAGCTTGCTGGACAAAGGCTGGGCACTTGGAGGGGTGAGGGAAGTGGAGTGAAGCACAGCGCACTCACAGCGCCCTCTGCAGGCAACAGAGGGAAAGGGTGCTTCCTGTCATGACCACCAGGGGGAGCCAGTTCCCAGGACCCTGAACAACCAGAAAAGCAGCTGTGTCTTCCAGTCTGACAGGGAGACCCTGACAGTATGGCCCAGCTTCCCCCAGCTCCACCCCAGTGTAGAGTGGGCCCTTCTGACCCCCCATGACCTCCATTCGCCGAGAGCCAATCTGCCAGCCTGTGCTTTCCCACCGCAGCCCCTGTGCCTGTGTTAATGCTCACTTCCTCCTTGTGGAGTGGGCCCTATCGCTGGCCCATTACACAGACAGGGAATCTGAAGCAAGGAGTTAAACAACCTGCCCATGATTACTCCAGAGGCCAGGGCTTTCCTCACTTGGTCAGCACTGTGAGGCCTGGTGGGGAACCTGCATGCCTGGCACTCACAGAGAGATGCCAGGTGGCTTGGCCAGCAGGCCGGGTGACTGAGCTGGGCGCTGACGGACACAGACAGGCATGCTCATTGCACGGGTCTCTGCATATGGCTGTGGCGGCAGGTGCAATCATCTGTCACAAGCCAGACAAAGGGAAGCCTGGAAAACAGGGTGCACCCAAGGAGTCTATGTTTAGGAGAAGCCAAGGGGGGCTTCCAGGATGAGGTGGCTTTTGGACAGAGTATTTGAGGGTAGCATTTAAGGGACAGGTGGCCCCGGTAGGAGCTCATTGTCTCCTTCCCTGAACTAACCTGGCCCCCTTAACTAGAGCCAGGCTCCTATGTCCCACCATGCATAATGGAACCCTAATTTTTAGGCCTTGCCATCACATCTCATCTCCATGGCATCACAGGACCCCTTAGAAGACGCGTATGAGAGGCATCTGGGTGACTTAGTTGGTTAAGCCTCCGACTCTTGATTTCGGCTCAGGGCCAAGATCTAAGTCTGAGCCCCGCATCAGGCTCTGTACTGACAGCGCGGAGCCTGCCTGGAATTCTCTCTCCCTCTCTGTTCTTTCCTGGCATGTGCACGTGCACGCACTCTCTCTCAAAACAAAGAAGCTTTTTTAAAAAATTTCTTTTTAACACATATGAAAGCGTTTTAGGGAAAGGCCACTGTGAACCCAGCTTGTGGCTTTTCAGGTTTCACTTTGTGGTCTCTCTGGGCGTCTTGCCTTCTGCTGCCTCAGACCAGCAGGGGGCAGCCCAGCACCGGAGACAGGAGCATGCCTCTACTTTTCTTCCTGACAGTCCCTGTTGCTGTTTACCTCTGATCCCTGATCCAAACGTCACCTCCTCCAGGCAGCCCCCCTCACTGTCACCATGGCTTTATACTTGTGAACTCATAGCTGAGAGATCACGCATGAATTTGGTCCAAAATCTCCATGTTATGGTATTTGGATTCCAGGCACAGAGAGAACCAATGGCTACCTGACATCACACAGCAAGCAAGGACGGAGCTGGCCAAAAGCCATGTCTCTCTCTGGCCCACTAACTGCTCACAGTGAGCTACCACCGTTGGTAGACAGGGGCCCAGGACAGGGCAGAATCACCCACATTGCATCGACCCTCCCAGATTGAGCTTTGAGAGCAAAACACCCTCAACAAAGAAGAGAACTCCCAGTCACCGGAGGGGCATGAGCGAGGCTGCGTCCCCGTGGAGGACCGTGGAAGGGACTCACACACAGATACGGGGCCAACTGCATGACCCTGACACTTCCGGGCTCATCTCTACTCTACCCTAGCTGTTTCAACAGCCACTCCGAAAGGGACAATGTTGTCCCCACAGACATTTTGGGATTTGAGTGGGAGGATCTGCCTGGCTTCCTTTAACCCACTCTTGGGCAGTGGAGAAGACTCTGGAGCCAGACTGCCTGGGTTCAACTTCCAGCTCTCCTGCTCACTCGCTGTGTGTCCTCAGGCTACTTACTCCCCCTCTCTGGGCCTCGCTGTCCACATCTGCAAATGAATTGTTACTTGTAAAGGACTTAGAACAGGACCGTGCACATGGTAGGTGCCACAGGCGTCAGCTAAATATCTCTCTGTACTTTCTGACGGGCTAATGCCTGGCCCTAAGTCAACCCCCAGCCTTCCTTCCGCCCCTCCCACCCTCCATGCCCCCTGCCTTGTGGCCCTGGCCAGCTCAGCCTCCAGAGCACCTTGACGGGAAATTCTTAGCGCATGAAACTTCCCTTCTGGGAGTGCAATGGGGAGGACTGAAACCCCACCCAGAAAACCTCCGTCCTTGCAGCCTGGCCCCGAGGCTGTTCACAGAACAGGACAGAGGAGATGGGAGAGTGGACCTGGGGACAATGAGAAGGTTCCAGGAAGGGGCAGGGCCCTGCCTGGCGCGTCCACTTCACACCTTCCCGTCGCCACTCGACGCGACAGAGAGCCCCGCCCACTGCCCATCTCATCACACCCTTGTCCCTCCCACCCCACTGCCCGTGGCCAGGAGGAACCCCACCGTCTGCCCCCGGACACACACCCGCCGCCCCCTGCAGCCCACAGCAGCACCCACGATGGGGGCCCCACTCTCCCAGCACCTCCGGTGGGGCTGCAGAATGCCCTGGTCACCACCCTGGGAGGGAGGGGTCCTGTGCTTTGGAGGGGAGGGGCCCCTACGTGGACCCCCGCACAGACCATGTGGACAGAACCCTGTCCCCGGTCTCTGGTCTCTGGAGCTGGGGACTGGCAGAGCTGGACAGAGCTCGGCCATCGAATACTCCTCACACCCTTTCTGCAGTGGTGTCATCTACACCCTCACACGAAATCCCCAGAGCCACTGTGTGAGGTTGGTCCTGCTGTTTTGCCATTTTACAGACCAGGAAACTGAGGCTAGGGAGGGGCCGTCCGATCTAAGATCACTCCAGGTGGAGCCAAGACACAGGCTCACTCTGCAGAACTCCCCGCAGAACTGGCACTGGCCAAGGTCTGAGAGATGCATGCTCTGCTGCCTTTGGGAGACCCCCCCCCAAAAAAAGGAGAGAAAAATGAGGGGGGGTGCAGCCAAGATCAGCGGCAGTGCAGACAATTCCAGCCTGGGAGAGGGGTCTGGGGGCCAAACCTCAAGAGAGACCTCCCCCCGTTCTGGACCAGCTGCCCTTGACTTCAGGCCTTCCGTAAACACACAGAGAGAACAGAACGGTCCAGCTCAGCTTGACACAATAGGGGCCACCATCACGAGGTCCCCAAGGACCCTGGCAGAGCAGCGGATGTCCAGGGTTCATCTAAGCCGACATCCCCCCACCCCCCCTCAGGCCCTGCTGGCCCCAAGAGAGGGAGGTCTGGCTCCTGCCCATCCTCAAGACGCAGGAGGGGCAAGGGACAGGGGACCCGTGGCTCACTTTCTCCCCGCTGGGGCCCGAGTCACTTCCCCCGCCACGCATGTAGAGCCACGAGTCATCGCTGACCTAGTCCAGGCTCCTGGAAAACCCATTTCCTCAGAGGATGGAGGTGGAAGTTGAGTGGACAGGACCTAGTCCGGCTTGGGGTTAACCCTTCCCAGGCAGGCACCTCTCCAACATATCAGCTACTGCTTCCCTCTTCCCACACACACACCGTGGGCACAAACCCCCAGCCCCACCTCCAGACTGCCCCCTTGCCTGGAGTGCCTTCCCCATCCCTAGGACCACCCAGCCCACGTACTACAACTCGGTTAAGGCACGCCCTCCCCATGGAGTATTACCTAACCACCCAGTCCCGATCAGAATTAACTACGTGTTCCTGGGGGGAGGGAGAGCCCTCAGGTCTATACGGCCCCCACTGCCGCAAGAAGTTCATACCAGCGGTGCCCAGACTCGCCCGTGGGCCAGAACCATGCCAGGGAGTGCACTAAAGTGCAGATTCACACCCCCCGCACACACACCCCCCCCAACTCTGAGGTCAGAGGCAGCAGGTCCGGGGTGGGAGTCAGGAGGCTGGCTTTAACAAGCGTCCCCAATGATTGAGACTCGGAGGGCTTGGAATCATGAGTTAGAGGCCTGGGATAACAGGAACCCCATTTTACAGAGAAAGTCAGAGACAACGAAAGAAGGAACGGGCCCAGCCCCAGATCACTCAGCTGCTGAATGACACTGCCTGTGGCGCCTCCTCTCCACCCTGGGGGGCAAGGAGGTGTTGTGTTCCTCTGTGGTCCCCTGGCGTTGAGCAGGGTGCCGGGAACCTGGGAGGGGCTTCCTGGAGGACAGAAGGGGACAGGCGGGCATAGGTGGAGGGGGAGCCTGGGAGTGGGTTTTCGGGTGTGAGCCTTCCCTGGGGGTGGGCCCGAAGGGAGAGGACCCAGATCGGCCTTCCAGCTCCATCCTCTATCCTTAGCGGCTCTCCAGGAGCGGGGCAGCG